CGTATTCTCTAATATATATCTAACAACTAATACACTAAACTAACTAATAAATAATATAATTATTATTATTACTCGTCTATCTCTATATTTTAATTTTTAAAAAAATTTAAAAAAATTAAAAAAAAATAAAAAAAAAAAAAAAAAAAAAAAATTAAGAACTGCTCATACCTGCCTTTAACAAGGAGATGTACTATATTATATATGGATTTACATAACTTGATCTTAATCATAAAAAATCGTAAACATTTCATAGAAGAATACAAGTGCATGAAGTAACCCTACTTCTTCTCGAAACTGGATTCTGTAACCTCTTTCATGTTTGCCGGATCGTAAAGAGGATTTTTTGCCATAATTGAAACAATCTCGAAGATGAAGTCCGCGGCAGCGAGAGCTGTACTTTCTGCCTGATCATCGTACGGTGGCGATACTTCCACGATATCTGCACCTACAATGTTCAGGTGTCCATCTAAAGCTCGAAGAATACTCTTCATCTCACGACTCGTCCACCCACCTGTTTCAGGCGTACCTGTCCCTGGTGCTAGACCTGGATCAAGCACATCGATATCAATGCTAAGGTATACAAGGTTGTCACCAACCGTCTTTTTTATCCTTTCAACAATACCTTTTACTCCGATTTCATCAATTTCGCCAGCCTCAATAAGCATAAAGCCAACTCGTCTATCTTCTTCATAGTCAAAGTAGTCAGTTCCGCTTAATCGAGTGCGCAAACCGGCATGAATAGAGCTTCCATTGTTAATGAGGCCTTCTTGGCTGGCAAGCCAAAACATAGTGCCGTGAGTAAACTCTGTTTGCTTTGACATCCAATGTGAATGATAAGTTGAAGGATTCCATGTATCAAGATGAGAATCGAAATGGATAACGCTCACATTTTGGTATAATTTCCCAAGTCCTCTAAGTGAAGCTAAAGCAATTGAATGGTCACCGCCAAGCGAAACCAAACGAGGATGAAACTTTCCATCTTTTGCTAGAGCTGAAGTCCTTGTATTGCGTGAATCTGCAGGAGTAGCAACAGAATGAGACAAAAGGTCAATATAACCTTCTGTCATTTGTTTTAATGCCAAATTGTTATCAAAGGGCGTGATGGGTATGTCACCACAGTCAATAATCTTTGTATTTGTTTTATAGGGGTTGATATTTAAAGCAGGATTGAAGCTACGAAGAGCTGTTTGTCGAGAGGAGGCAGTTCGAATAGCGCGAGGACCAAACCGTGCTCCTGGTCGATAAGATACTGCAGTATCAAAGGGCACACCAACGATAGCAATGTCATAGTTTACAGACCAATCCGTCAAGCATTTAGTTTGTGGCAAGTGCGCAAACCCAAATATGTTTGAGTATTGAGTGTCAAAGTCCCAACGTTCAGCACGCAAACTGTCAGGGAAAGGTGATTGTTCAGACTCCTCCATCGGTTGTTGTAAATAATGCTCAACTTGTGGTAGCATTTCAACACCTTCATATCTTTCGGCAAAAATAACTACGCATTGTAGTAGAGCAAAAAGAAGTATAAAATTTATACAATACTTCATCTTTGCAATCAAGAAAGTTCAACGAAAATCTTTTCTTATTATTTCCTTCAAAGTTGTAGCATATGAAAAGAACAACAACGAGATAGATTCATGGCTTATTTATGGTTGCTGAACCCCATTTTGATAGTACAAGTTTTGTAAGACATACGAAATCGTCGATAGGTGTCAGTCCAACTTTATATCTCCACGGTGTATTCTGTACATTCACGAAACTCAACACCGAAAATATATAATTATATATATAGTTAGAAAGGAATAAAAAACCCCGTGTCTTGTTCTTTCGATTGTATTCATAAAAACGTAGTATTATGTTTTATTGTTGTCTTTGATAATGTTCATTTTGAACAACCAAGTTCAGAAGTTTATTATGCCTTACCAAAGTAAGGTAAGCGATGGCCTCTAGGTCAAAGCAGTCAGAAAACCCTTTGTATGCGTATTTATAAATAGGTGTGATTGTTGAACACATACGTTTCCTACGGTCTTATTAGAATACATGTAAAACAATCGTTGACCTTTCATTGAAAAAGGTCGCGAGAGTAGACCTTACGATTATTATTATAAAGTAGTTGAATTCATTGCTTCTAGGAGGATTACCTTACTTTCATTTAGTAAAGTTGATTTTGATTCATAGTTACTGTGTAGACTATGATGCATAAAATTTATGATGGACACGAAGAATATACTTAATATTGGTTGCTTGGAATGACAGTAAAACAAAAATCGGCTAAATACTTATAAAGCTTTTAGGAATGAGTCTATAATGACCGACATTTACTTGACAGAAGAGTGTTTGAAGCTATGTTCAGAAATTACTTTTCGCCCTTATCGAATTGAATAGGAACTTGGTTATTTTCCAATTGCTTTTTACATTTTTCTTTCAAAATAAAGGGAACTAAAAAATTTTCTTGGTGGTACTTAAGAATGAAATGAAACGAACGTAAATAATCAAGTTCCAATGGAATTGTCTAATGGTTAACGACTATACGAACTTCGGTTAATGTCAAGTAAAACGTTTCTTAGATGCGACTGTAATCTTTTGAGCGACTGATCTATTATTCACAGGATAAAATGTGATTCTTGTCTTAAAGATATGTTATACCAATGGGTTATTACTTTCTGAAATTGCAACTTGCTGGAGAGAGTCGACTTGAGAATGGTAATATAGAAGACTTCATAGTAACCAATCGAATCCCAATTTATGTTCATCTTGACTTGCCTTTGTAATCATTTTCTGCAACTGAATCCTGAAACACTAGTAGTTACACTAAGCTGCTTATTCCTTCTGGAGTGCTTTGCAGGTAATTGAATCGCTTGTATCATATATTCTAAGTATTCAGAGAGAATCTGTTATTGCATTATGGAAAATCCTGTTTAACTACAAAATGAGCAAACCCTTTTTATCATCGCAAAGTTATAGCTGTTCTTGTTATAAGTCTATAAAGCTGGAGCTTCAAATTCAGATTTTACCCATACAATATACTGATAGAAAGAAAGATTAGATCAACTTCTTAAATAAATTGGATATCCGGAGCAGCCTTGGATTATAAATGTCTAACAATAATCTGTAAAACTTAGTTAAGTTGCATTCCTGCTTCTAATAGAAAATTATCTAGTATCTATAAATATAAAGAAATAATAAAAGTAAGACTAAGATTTTAAAGTAATGAGAAGGAATAAAGGCGAAAAGCTAAGACACAAGCTTCACGTACGGGTTTCTTCCACGTAACCTTTCACCAAAATAAAAAAATACAAAAGGAATTGGAATCATTCCAAGAGCAATAAATCCTACTAAAGTTCCACCCCAGTGAACGCCTAACTTCTTGAACATGATACGAGAAAATAATGGAAAAGTACCTCCAAAGATCGATCTCGTAAATGTATTCGCAGCAATAGCCGATGCAGCAAACTTTGTAAACGTGTCCACAAGGTAATTTAAGCATCCTTGGAAAATTACGAAAAATCCAATACCTATCATGGATATACCAATAAACGGTGCTATCCAATGGATATTGGCATCTGAAGTCCAAGAAAAAATAAATATACCAGCTGGCATAAGCCAGCCTACCATCATCATCAACGGTAATCTCTGTTCGGGAAGAGGCTCACCGCCATTTTCCCAAAGTAATTTTGCATATTTTCTATTCCATAAAATATTAAAAGTTCCGCCAATTAGCACACCAATAAACATTGCAATCATGGGTAGTGTACCAACTGTTCCCTGCCAATTTCTTGACATATAAAATGTATAAGGAATTGTAGTCAAAACTATATAAAGGATTCCATATACATAACTAGCAAATAGAGCTATGAAAAAGACAATTGGCGTTGCCAGCATCGCAAAAGGTCGCAAAAGATGAAAGGTAACAAACTCTTTTGCGTCTAACTTGTATTGTTCATGAGCAGCGTGCAGCCCCCAATTCCTTGTAGAAAGACGTAGATTTCGAGCTTTACGAGCTAGAATTACAGGAACATAAGTTTCATCGACGACTAACATACAAACAAGCAAAATAACAGACTGGACAATCACCATAAACCATAGTGGCCATCTCCAAGCTGTATCTGAACCTTTCGAAAGTAAGCTGCTAATAATAGGACCAAAGTCAGCGCCGCTAACGACAAAGAACGCATAAAAAACCAAAGCAGTGGCCCTTTGTGCTGGGTTCCAAAGATCAGCCAAGACACCACCTGTGGAGACAATAGGCGCACCGGCAAAAAAGCCAGAAAAAAACCGAGTGCACATAATGGCTGCTACACTATCTGAGCTAGCAGTCCCTGTTGTAAATATCATGGATATAAAAAAAGGTAAAAAGACTCCCATCTTTCTCCCATTCATTTCTGAAAAAGGCGCAAAGGCCATGGGACCAAAAGCTATTCCTAAGACATATAAAGACGTAGCTAACGTAGCCACCTCTTGACCGATGGGGTATGCATTCGTCAAATGTCCAGCGGTAGGTGACATTGTTGTACTATTAAACTGAGCAGCAAAGGTTGTCATTCCATACAATGCTGTGTGCACAAGCTTCTTAGTGATTGACCAATTCATGGGTCGTTCAGGATCATTTTTGTCGAAGTCTACCAGAAAAATTTCATCAGGGTATGATTTGGGGTATTGCGGCAATTCTTGAAACGTTATATCAGTTCTGCCTTTTTCGCTGATTGAACGGTCTTCAGGAGATCGTTCATGTTCATTCGTCTCCATTTTTGACATTGCAAATTTAGATCATGTCTCTGTTTTTCTTTTCAGCCGACTCAAGGTATACTTTATTATTTTAACCGACCCTCTACTTTTTATTCATTCCGACTTTCTAAAGCAGTTTAACTCTAGTAAGCTCGTCCAAATTCTCCTCTAAAATGTTTGTTATCCTTGTTGGCGTTGTTTGTTTCAGTACAAGTTGAGGTTCTTCAAGATATTTTTCTACGAGCATGCTTATATATATAAGATAGATACGCTTTAAGATAATATTTACTTGAATTTAGCGATAGTATCTTGACGTAGATCATGGGCATATCATATCATAAAGATTGATTCTCCCAAGATCTTGTACTGATTTGAGACTATCTACATTCAGTCAGTGGGTTTGGCCAGAGAATTTGAGCGAGAATTATCCCTAAGCGGACCGAACCTGTGTCATTCCGATTCATCGTACTCTACTGTATATCTTGTATGTAATGGCCGCCATCTGATTACTATGTTTATAATGAAACGTCCGACAAGACCTCAATGTGCATTCTCGTTCTGAAACGACTCAAGAGATAAAAATTAGTTTGCTGAATTCGCGCGATTATTTTGTACAAGAACTTATCAGCTTAAATGTAGCTGTGCATTTTTGTTTGTAGCATCTTGATCAGCATTTGGACTAGTCATCTCATTTATATACTTACCTTTTAAAGTTTGTTTATATGGCTAAAGCAATTGTATATAACGATTTATAAGCTATAAAGTCTTGTTCGTTACATGAGTCCCCCGTTTTTTAAGATTTCAATCTAACAGAATGCTTGGCATATGAACTGGTCGCTTGACTAAATTTTAGCGAAAGCTGGAAATATGGAAAACCTGTACGAAAAGATTACATTACACGTTTTGTAAGGTTTTATTGCTATAAAAAAATAACCGCGTCAAATTAAATGAGAACGTTACTTATCTAAAGATTAGTTACAGAAGGGATAATGCAACTTTCCATCTCTAGTCGAAGACAAAATTGAAATGTTTGATTTTATTTTTGCTATAGTTTAGGCTGAATCAGAAAGCACGTCCTTGCGCTCACGACTATTCTTGTCTAAAAATGGTTTTTCACCACGAGCAGCAATACGGATAAAATGGCGAGTTTGGGGAATATGGTCATATGTAGCACGGTGCACTACAATACGATTGTCCCATGCGACGACTCCGTTTTTCGACCACTGTATTTTAACGGTAGAAGAAGACAAAGACGCCAAATGCTGATACAGAAAATTCAAAATAGCATCAGACTCAGCTCTGGGAATCTCGGGAATATATCGACTGAACTCGGGACTAACGTATAAAGACTTCCATCCTGTAACTGGATGGGTACGAATGATTGGATGAGCGGTTAAAATTCCTTCCCGGCGAGTGGCATGTCCTGCCTGGCGTCTTCTTTCTGCCTGTTCAACGCCAGAATGTACCAATGTTAAGCCCTCTAAGTAATTCTTCATGGGTTCAGACAGCGCCTCATAAGCAGCGTAACCGGAAACAAAAACGGTATCACCACCTTGATCAGGAACTTTTAAAGCTTTGAAAAAGGTCTGTGCTGTAGGCTGTTCTTCAAAACTGACGTCCGTGTGTAAGTATCTTATTTGAGGTAAGCCATTCAGGACATCCGACCGAGTGTTTTTATCAGAATAAACTACATGAAAATTTTTCCATCGTTCATTCCTTGGGATTGCATTGGCGCCATGAATATGTGGGCTACCATAGTACAGACCCAACTCTTCAAATTCCTCGATTGTCTGCTCTTGATCAGGGAAATAAACAACGCCTCGTTCAGCGATCAATCTAGCAAGTTCATCCTTTTGAGCGTTGTCAAGTTTACTCAACTGAACTCCGTGTAAGACAGTTCCCAAATCTCTTGCCAAATGCTCAATTTTCGTTAGATCCCGAAACAAATTTGAGAAACTGGGATCCGCATTCAATCCACGATCATAAAACTCTACTTTATCCAGCGGCTTATCCTTGGAATCTGGGAAGAATGGAAGCAGTTCGGCGAATTCGTAATCTTTAGGAAGAGCATAAGTTTTCAAGGTACCATTACTATCTCTCAATGCAAGGTGATCCCCGTCTGGCAGCTCTGTTAAATTACCATTGAATATGTTTTTGGATAATTGAAATTCATGACTCTTGTTAGGGCTCGTTTGATGCTTTTCAAGCGTAATCTTTGGAGGTGCTTCAAGAACGGCGGTTGAACTCATTGCTAATACTTATTTCTGCAAAAAAAGAATGAATCTTACTATATGTTTGTTTTCAACTGGTGACTCCTATATATATATATTTTTTTTCTACCTCTTCAAAGACAAGCAAATTCTGAAAATAAATGAGCCATACAAGTAATGCGATGAGAAATTCTTTCATTCTCATTTTACGCATAAGATTGTTTACTCCTTGACAATAATTTGCCTTATGTCCTTGTGTTTATTGGTGAAGAACGGGTGACGTACCAAACCTGATAGCTGAAATGAGTTTATGTTTAACGAAGTATTTATTGATTAGATGGTGGTTATATCAGACATTTGTATGTCTAGAAGGCTGAGTCTAGTTTGAATATGATCACTCTAGTACAGAAATGTAAATGTAAGATTCTAAGGCTTTGCTGAAAAAGAATCCTTGAACCAGGTTCTTTTAAGTGCTCTTTCTTGTATTTTCTTATAAAGTTCACTTACATTGCTCACCACAAATGTTCCAAAAAAAAGGGATAATATATGTACACTGTGAGTATTCAAGAAAACGATAATTTTGCATATAAAATATCATCATAAAACGGTTTAGACTGACATGATTACTTTCATTGCTTTGTAAACACTTCAGTCGACTTCTAAGATCCTTCAGAAATACCTGAACATGGACAGACCCTTCAGATAATTCTTTACACTAAAGTAAACTCATTAATAATCCAACATGACTCTTTATATATATATATATATATATATATATATACATAGTATTAATTAACTTACTTTACTAC